TGGAGTCTCACTGGCTTTATGAGATCCTAGGAATAGCAGGTCAAGTAGACTGGACTCTTTTCCAAAACTAATACCCATAGAAACCTCCAAGGCCATAGAGATTGTTAAGACAGCAACTTTCTAATGTCTTTTAAAAATGTCCATTTGCTGTGGAATGTAGAATGCATAAATATGGCCCTCTTCTAATGCTCCATTCTTGTGGCAAGCATGCCCATGTTATGTCACCACATACGTGGGTTGAGTTGGAATGGATGTACGGTAAGTATTATACACCAAAGCCTCCTCCTAAAGTAACTTCTCAGAGCTAGTTCTTCAAAGCAGGGATGACCGTTGTGACCTCCAAACAAGCACAAAAGACCTTCATGCCTCTAGAAGCTTCTGATTTGGTTTAACGGGTGAGCAAAGGTTTCAGGTAGGGAGAGATAAAAGGTCGAGCATTTGTGTTTGGCTTGGACAATCATCCCAAACTTCAGATGCTTACCAAAACTATTTGAACCTCTATGTCCTGAGTAGGAAGGTTGAAAATCAAGTACTTTTTGGGTTCCAGGTGGAAGTACTATGTGGACAGCTTTTCTTGTGGCATTTTACCAGCTCGGACTCCATTCCCAGCCTGGATACAAGTGGGGAAAATATGTATCCAGACATTTCAGAAACTTATAAGAGGGTTGATTTGATTTTAGTTTGCATCTAAAAATGAGGAGGTGGTTTGAGATTGGAATTGAAGGTATGTGTTGTACAGGGCAAGATTTTGAACCCCTCAGTCACACTGAAGTCAGTGTGATTAACAGTCCACCAATGTATGTAAAGTGTTCTGACTCTGGTCCTTAATCTGAACTGGTTCACTCCTCTGTCGCTATATCTTTTTTTCTCTTTAATCAATTTCTCCGCCTCTAGTAGGTATTTGTGCAAGGGCTAGAGGACAATTAATGTCTCTGGGAAACTGAATTTCCTCACTTTTTAGCATTATCTTAACTCTCTGTCCCCTGAAATCAATGGTGCAACTATCATTGATTTCAATGGGAGCAGCGTTAGGCCAATGCCAAGCATTTTTAAAGATCTCATGCTAAACTCTTTATATTTTATTTCTATTAAGCAGAATTTTGCAGGGGTTATAAATATGGTATAATATTTGTACACAGATACCGTACACCATATTTGGTGACTTATACAAAGCCTCAGTGGGTCACTTTGCTCACTTATTTTTAATGGGAGAAATTATTAATATTTTAAAGAATAAAAATGATAAATATTAGCTGCTTTCCTCACTGTAGCTAGGTGTCCTTCCAATCAGACATCAAGAGATCATATACTGAAACTGGTATACAATGCCACCGGCATATTATGGATAAATGTGTTTCTCTTATGCATTCCATCAAGATGATTATTTAATTGCTAATACCCCATTTTTTTTATTTGCACATACAGATTTCAAGTCTGTGCATTTATAGATTTTGACACTGTGTTGATATATCCTACTTTTCAGATGTCTGGCTCTGAGATTTGTGAAATTATTAAAAACAAAACAAAACAAGAGTTTTGGTGGTGTCCATCCTAGCTCTCAGTGGACAGCTGCCAAAACCATTATCCCATTTGGTACCACTTGGCAGTGTCTGTAGAAAGGCTTGGATTTGAGATGCAAAGAATCAAAACACCCCTTTCACCTCAAAAGCCGTTCTGTCCATGGCCATGCTAAAGCATATAGGTGAGGCAGGGAAACTTGCATTGCTACTGCCTTTGCTGTTCCAGATCTGTATATGAGTAGAGGACTTCCAGTTTCAGGATAATCAATCTGGCATCCTTCACCAGCATTAAAGCTTTCTGCAAAGCTCATCTTTCCATACAGACTTTCAGAATAGTGGTGGATTGATGGAGGAAGGCCCCAGTGGGTTTGTGGTGTGGTCGCTGGGATGAGTCAAGTTGGTTGTGACAGTTTTGTGAGGCCAGTAATTCATAATATGGTATTTTAAAATGCAGTTTTAAAATGGTTTACTAGGTGTTTGTACAATGCGAAGTGCTTAGAACTTGGAGCAGGCAACTGTAACAGTCAAATAACATTCACATTCTATTTTATGGTCTAAATATTGATGGCTCTTGTGCGGGCATCATGGGGGTATATGGGTGGGAAGAGCCCAGCAAGGAGAGCCCAGACCCATGTTTATGCAGTCATGCCAGGGCCTCCCACAATAGCAGTTTCTCTTTTTTGTGGGGAGCACATGCACACATTGCTCCTACTTCTTCACACTGCCAGGCAAATTGTGCCAAAGCGACTGTGTGGCGGTAGGACTCTGGGCCTCTATACTAGCCTGTAGAGAGGGCCAGTGCACTATGGGGAGTTGTGCCAGTTCGATGGATGATGCAGTTTGTGCACTAAGTAGCCTCGGGAGAGGTACTTGCTTGCAGTACAATCTCTCCTAGTGCCCTCTTGGGGTGGCATAGCTCCATGCTGCTCCTTATGCAGGGCTGTGGAATAAATGCCATGATCTAGCCCAAAGTAATATGAAAACTTCTACTGAAACATCTGACAGCACAATGAAGGTGTCTTAGTAACCTTTGTCCGGCTTGTCCTCGTCCGTCCGTCCACAAATGCAAGTCGACGCCACACCATTCTGTTTTGTTTCCAGTACGTCCTTTCCATTTCTGGCCAAAGAGTTTTGTCATGGGATCGGCCCAGCACGTTGTCGGTCTACCCAGTGGTCGCTTGTGGTCTCTCGGGATCCAGTCACTGATGCGGGTTGGCCACCTATTGTCTTGCCTGTGAACTACATGACCCATGAATCTTCACTTTGCGTCATACATGGCCTGCACTACATCGGTCACCTCTGTATGTCTTCTGATCTCCTCATTGAGTATATGATCATGGAGGAATATTTTACACAAAATCCTACCTCCCTACCTCAGTGTTGGTGTGGGGATGAACGAGGTTTGACAGCAAATTACCTCGGAGAGTATGCTCTGGCAGGTCTTACCAAGCCGAGAAGGTGTTGAGCTAGCATCTAGGGTCGTAGGGAGTCTGAATGTACCTCTGTTACTCCAGGGCAACCCAGCCAAAGTGGAGGGGGTACTGTAGCTACAGGGCACAAGGGACGGCATCCTGAATGCACTGCTGCAAAATTCTTCTGCCAAATAAACCATACAAAGCAGAATAAACCAGGAAACTGAGCACAGAATCATGAGTCAGCATGACCAATGCTCACACCCCGGGGTAGCACAGGACAAAAACCGGAAAGTGACTAGAAGAACAGCCCACTATTTATTGCAAGTCACAATACAAGAACACTATCATCTGATCCATACATCGATACTTATACGGAAGTCATAAAATCAATAAAAGCAGACATCATCGGGATATGAGAAAGAAGAACGAAAGACCTCATTGCACAATGGAAAAGTGGAGAGCAAATATTCATAGGAAGATCATTTGACAATAGGGCAAGAACTGGAAGCACTGGATTCATTGTCTTAGTAGCAAATTAAAAAAAATTCTAACCAATTCTGCCAGATACAGGCTATGACCAGAAAATATGATGACAAATTGTGTAGCCCAGATCAGATTTTCTTTTGGCTAATTCTTTGCTCCTGTTGTCACATAAAATGTCATTAGAAGTTGCATCATTCAGGCATTTTTAATGTATTCCTATCACTTGCATGATGCATTTTAGTAGGAATATTTTCACTGCAGCAAATACCATAAACAGTTTCCACACTACAGTATGTTATACTGACACCAGAATTGGTTCTTCTGATGCTTCATTTCTTTTATGCTGAAAATTCAGGACCAATTCAGCTTGGTTTTATGCATCATTAGAGATTTACAATTACTTTGCTATAGTTTCTTTCTGCAAGCCTATCTCTCATGGTTAATGCTATGGATGTCCTGTTGTGTAGAGGCTGGTGTTAGCTACCTTATAGCAATAAAGTGTTTGCGAAGGATTTAGAATTATGAGTGGCAAAATTCCCCATGCAGTGGCTGTAATACTGTTATCCCTTGCTGAGCTTGGGTTGAAATATTTCTTCATCTGTTCAAATTAGGAAAAATGCTGCTTTTTTAAGAGGTTTCAAGGCATTTCCATATCATTTTTGTTGAATTACTGCAAGCAGAGATGAGAAAATTATGAAAAATTCCATTTGGGTTTCATGATATTTAAAATACAATGATGTTGTATTAGAATATGATAAACAGGAAGGCTGCCTCACTTTTTGACCTGACCGATTTTAAAGCAGGTAATTATTTAGGACCTAATATTTTTTTAATTTTTACTTATGTTGCTAAGTTGCATTGATTTCATAGTGTTTGGCATGTGTATAATAAGTGGTGAACCCTGTACATACTATAATTCACACAACTCATGATCTATGTCAGTACTACACTGCATGGAAACAAACATGGATTAGAGAGAGGAATATGGGATTGATGTAAGGCCCATTAAAATCAATGGAAAGACTTCAATTATTTTCAGTAGCCCTTAGATCGCGCCCTAAATGAGCAAATTACAATTATGGAGTTTTCTATTAACATACCTGTGTTATACATTAATTTAGTACCCTTTTGTATGCTTAGTTAGATTAACAGGTTGCCAGGAGCATCACCAGCAGTGTTTCCCAAGGCTTCAGTACAAGGATTATGTAGTCAATCCACACATGGCTTAAACTGTAGAAAAAATGGACATAGTTATCAGAGAAGCTTTGACAACAAGGACAGATACACTATCTGGGATATTCCCTCAGAGATTCTTCTTCCATCTAATGAATGTACTCAGGTCAACAGTATGGGCCTCCAGACCTGGATGAAATTTGTAAAGCTTTTGAGGAAAATGTACACACCTCAGCCCTATGCAAGTCTTAAATAGACCATGTCATAAAAAAACCTGTTGATCTTGAATGACGTTAGAAAAAAGACATACTGAAAGTATTGGAGGGCAGTGTTTTGGAAGAGTGTGGAAGGTTGTATGGAGTTTTTAAATCCACTGTTATAACATAGTAATCTTTCTCCTTTTACACAGAATAACTTGGATCCCAGTGAGAATGAACAGACCTGATTTACAAGATTCTGATACCTGCTAGTCATGTAAGTGTGTCAAAAGGACACTCTTATCTGTTCTTTTTGAGTATCCTTTAATTAAACCATTTTGGAACATGGCTGAAAAAAAGACATCATGCTATCTGATTAAGTAACTCCAGTGATAAGCTGCCAGAAGCTGAAGAACCAGTTCCTTCAGTCGCTCCGAGCCTTCGGCGGCACTTCGGCGGCATGTCCTTCAGTCACTCCGGGTCTTCGGCAGCATACAAAAGGGTACTCCGAAGGCTCAGAGCGAGTGAGGGACCCGCTGCCTAAGTGCCGCAGAAGGCTCAGAGTGTCGCCGGGTGAGTAAAAATTCACAGGAGAGCCTCCCCAGCCGAGAGCTCAGGCAGGACGGACAGGACGGTCCCACGGGCCGTATGTGGCCTGCAGGCCAGAGTTTGCCCACCCCTTTAACAACCGGTTCTAAACCGGCTTCTAAATTTAACAGCCTGTTCACGCGAACTGGTGTGAACCGGCTCCAGCTCACCACTGCTTATTTGACTATAATGTACAAGTATATTTCATAGAATATTCACAAATATACATGCCACACTCCCACTGAGTTCAATGCTTGGATGGTTTGTAGGGTCTGGTTCTTAATGAAATAAATGCTATTTCCTTCCTGCACTTTTATTTCTAGCTTTGCATAGTCGTTGCATTTGCTGTTACCTTACACAATTGTATAATTTATGACCTACTTTTTTTGTTTGCTTGTCTCTTTTCCCCACGATGTTAAAATGCTCACTGACAATTTGGGTTCCTTTGTGTAGAGGTGCAGAATCAGCCAGCAGAGAAAATGTGCCTGTTCATCTATAAACTACCCATCAGTGAGTAGATACAGGCGTTACATATTAGGAAAACAGATAAGATTATAGTGGAAAGTCTTTTATAAGCAGTGTTTTCAGCAAAGTGTGTCTCCAAAAGGCATCAATTCCCATGAAGACGTTAATGTCTTTGAATAGGCAATTCCAGGGTTGTTACAATACCCTTGGATTTACCACTTCTGAGGAGGACGGTTTTTCTGTCAGCATTATCGTAACCAGAGACTATGATCTCGCCATCATTTCCAAGTCTGCTTTGTTCATGGCCTAGCAGGTAATACACCAATTGGTAATCGTTTTGGTAATACACAAATTGCCCTAATACTATGAAAAACATTGTTCATGTGATAACATTTGACTTCCCAACTGCTGGATTAAATTGAGACCTGAAATAAACAGGTGCAAGTCCCATGAAAGCCTCTGGGGCAAATGCACCCCCAAAGCTTCAGAGGTGGGGATCATTGTGTGGATCTTCTAGGGGGAAGGGCTGGAGCCCCTTGAAGTGAAGCTTACTTCACTTCCCTCTTGAGAGCCCGCTTCTCATAGTTTGGGGGAGGGTAGCTGGCAGAAGTTCTGATGAAGCCCATTGGCTTCTGTGCACCAATGGGGAGGGCATAATAGACCTTATTCTGAGTTCGATGTGCCATTACACTCTGGACTAGCAGCTCCCACCCATGCAATTAGTGTAGTTGGATCTGTTGCAGGCATAGTGCTAATTACCTTTTGGGGACTGGGAAGAAATTTTTCCCTCCCTGTAAGGTGGGTTTTTTTTTGCTTACCCCACAGGACAGAGACATGGGGGTTCAACAGGAGGTTACATCCAAGTTGTCTCACCTTGGCAGTGCAGGTACTGTACAGGTGCAATATAGTGCACGCAATTGTTCAATAATGGTCCATTCCCTGATAAACCAGACTAGGAAGTGAATTTAGGGGAAGCTGGGGAAAGAGGTTGGGGGCTTTTAATGTCTCTAGCCCTTTAATTATCATACTTTGGGTGGTGGGGTCCCAACAATATTCTGGCCACAGGTGTGGAAGGGGTAGTGGGCTGACGGCAGCCATCCATCAGGCAGAGTGTATTATTGAAAGAAGAAAGAGTGACCCATATCATACAAGTTATTGCCGGATAGTTCACAATAGAGTTAAATTAATAAGATTGTGGCCAGTTAAACCACATCCCTTGTGTCATCTTTCTTCCTGCATGTCCAGGACAATTCAGCAGTGGGATAAATAGTGCCATAAGTGACGGTTAGTGTATCAGTTTACCCCATCTTGTTTTGACCAGCTTTCCATCAAATGTAATGCATCAGTGATCACAGAAGTCCATTTTGAGAGCACTTTATTTTGCTGGGTGAGGTAGAAGCAGCTTACAATTGATTATTATGTTAAATACTTTGTTCTAGCAACAGAGAATTATGAGGACCTATAAAGTGCACCTCCCTTTGCACTTTTGGCTACTCTGGGAGCTGGGATGCTGAATAGGTGGACCTCTGGTCTGATCCAGTATAGCAGTTGCTATGTATCAGACCTCTACAAGTCAATATACAATATAAATGAATACAACATAATGTTCAAGTGTACAAAGATACGAAAATACCTGTTATAACATGGTACTGTGGCTTCTAGAACAATAAAAAAAAACAGAACTTGAGACTGCCTGGCTTTAATGGAGCAGTTCCAGGAAGTGTTCTGAGTGTTTTCAACATCTCATAATTCAAGAGTAAAATTATAATTCCAATTACAATTTCAGCCATTTCTGGCCTTGAGAAACCTATGCTAATATTTATTATTATGTGATTGACCTATGATTTCTCCATCATTTACATTAGCAACCTAGGATATTCATAGTAACATCCTTTAAATCATGTAAGCAGAAGTCAACAGTGCACAGTGAAACCACACACTGCAGTTTATTTATTTAGCTAGTACAATCTATCTTGACAAGACAACCTTATGAAATGCATCATCTCATTTCCATAAGGTCTCTAGGGGACATCAGGCACATATGATCATATAATACATTTTCTATAATCTCACAAAGTGAGTCAATTCAATCATAGGTACAAACAACAAAATAAAGTCAGTCTTTCAATACCAACATTGACTGACATCATCTGTAAATGTCAGGAAAACTCTGACATGGATCTTTTACAACATGTATCACCCCTATACGTTTTTGGAAGGAATTCTGAGAAAAAAAGGGGGAATAAGAGTAATTTAATTTGCTTTAACCTCTTTCCTAATCTTGGAACTTCAATTTTAAATAAATTGATGACATCAATTTCTACAGTTTTATAGGAATTTAAGGTAGAAATCGTTGATCTCTTTAGAGGGTTTTCTTGAATGATATGAAAATACTATGCAAAAAATCTTTTCATTGCATGGCCATTTAAGTGAATGTGTCCTGCTTATGAATATCCAAAGGTAGAATCTGCCCCTCTGTTGCCATCTTTCAAGCATGTCTCTTGCAAATGGCTGAGTGATACCGAATTAATAGTTTGCTTTTATTCTTCAGTAAATATGCTCTTCCAATAATCTTTATGAATAGATAAGTACTTCCTGAAAGTCTGGGATGTCCTTTCCATGGACCATGTTTCAGGGAAAGCGAATATACACGGAGTGTGGTGCAGACAGATGGTTGTTTTTGAAAATCAGAGTGTTACCTATCCCCACTGGCAATAATTAATAGTAATATTTCTAATACTAGACTTGTTTCATTCAGCACACTACATTTAGTCTGACATAACTGGTACAACCTGCTGTAAATACTATAATTTTTATTAACTCTAAAAATACTAATAAAAAAATCAAGAGAAACAAAAGCTCTTTTAGTCAGGAGAGGGAGGTTATAAAAGTGGGTCTTTGTTCTTAGTATAAATATTTTTTCACAGATTAGCATCCAGGCGAACTGACAGTGGGAGCATATAGAAATGAAGGTGGTCAGGGGAGGTGGCACTTGAATATACAAGTGAGGTTGCAAAATGAGTCTGGGGCTTCTCACATGACTTTAAAGATAGCAAAATGACTTGGATTTATCTTCTAGGTGAAGGGAGAAATGGAAAATGTTCCACATATCACATTGTTTTTGTTATTTGTGGGAAAATTTCAGTCTTCCATTTGGATTAATAGCACACCTCCTATTTGTGACACCCCCTCCCAACCCAGTTTTTCCCACTGCAGGGCTCACCAGTATATCTGTTAGAATCCCCTGTGAAAATTTGTCTAACCTATAAATAAGGACCCATAAATGTGGCTGTAAAGGTGATTCTCTTTTGTGATTATTCTTTCTGGGTTAGGTTTAAAATGTGCATGCTGAGTTTTTGTAAACACCATAAGGTTAACTTCCATGAGGGGTATGGATGTTAAACTAGACAGCCCCCCTTAAGTCAACTTATAATAAGTGGCATAGCTAAATCCTTCTGATTATTTAGTTTGATTTATAAAATACAATTTAAAAATGCCCACCCCTGGTTATGGGTGCCCTGCCATTACTTAGAATTACAGAACTCATGCAAATCCAAGCAGCTTTACCTGTAATTTAAAAACCAGAAGTCTTCATGCAAAATCCAATACCCCACATTGCCTTCAATCATTCCCCTCCCATCGGAACCCTCATCCTTCTCAAAAGCCAGGGAAATCAGGTGGGCCTTTTAGCTGGCCCTGAAAGTCAACAGGTTTGGGCTGTCTCAGACTATTTTGGACCAAGGGTGGGGAAGTGGTTCCAAAGCCGAGGGACCCCCAGAAAGAATGCCCTGCCATCAGCATCCTCCCCATTAACCCGGCACAAAGCACTAAACATGAGATCTCTTTCTTAGATGTTAATCAAAGTAAACTAGTGAGGGCAGTACAGGACCATCTTTCTGAGCAGTGGTGCTAGATTATAATAATGAACAATTTATATAGCGCTGCACTTTACCAAGACAGAGCCAAATACGCACAGTGCGTTACCTCAGGAAAAGTTCTCATTGACCTGAAAGATAGCTTTTCCTGAGAAGAGAAGCTGGAGCAAGCTCATGGAGTAAAACGTTTCCCTTATCATGAGCAATCTAATCATAGGAGACTTATTAGCAATGTAGAAGCTAATGTTGAGTCAGAAAAATAGACTTTCTGGAAGGATTGTTTTGTTGCAAAATGAGTTTTGCAGATAGAAATTGTGCCAAATCCCAGTTGGCTGTGAGACTGTCTCCA